TATAGGGTTAATGCGGGAGAGACGAGCGAGTTAGTTAGGCTGGTGCGCCTGTGATAAAGCTGTTCTGATTAAGTTGACAGAGCGTCTTTAGTCTGTCGATCTTCAAACATTACAGTAGACATATTTTGGTTTATAAACTGTATCGTTTCAGCAGTTAGTCACGTTAGCACTCGGCTAACGTATCCACCATTATGGTTTTAAGTGTTCACAGTTTAGCAGCTAAACTTTAGCTGTTGTCGCGATTCGCTTGTATAAGTGTTTTTGTATTTTGTCATTATTATAAGAACTGATTGGAGCACTATATTGTTTTATGTAAAGGTGCTTTGTCAATGGTAGTGCTCGCTATCTTGCTCAAGGACTCCTCTCTGTGCCAATCACAGCAGGCTTGGCCAGCTGACCAATCAGAGCAGTGTAGGCTTATGGAAGGGAGGGGTTTGCTCCGAGCTTGCTTGGAACGAATCGTTTCGAAATCATTGGCAAATGACTCCAATATTAAATGTATATTCTGAGAAAATTACAATGTTTTCTGACCTTACATGCATTTAAACCTGTTGTAGGAGACTCCAACACAATATTAGGACACTTTAAAATACCATATGACCTGCTCTTTAAGATTAATATTTTTTTCTGCAAGGGCAAGGATGCATTACATTGAGACTTTTTTTTTCTTTCAAATGAATGCTGTTCTTTTGAGCTTCATATTCAGCAAATGTATCATGGTTTCCACAAAAAAATATAAAGCAGCACGACTGTTTTCAACATTGATGATAAATGTTTCTTGAGCACCAAATTAGCATATTAGAATGATTTCTGAAAGATCATGTGACAATGATTACTGGAGAAATGGCTGCTGAGAATACAGCCTTACCATCACAGGAATAAATGACATTTTATAGTATATTTAAAAAGAAAAAAACTATATAAAAAAAGTTTTACTCCTATTTTTGAACAAATGTACAGCCTATGTGAGCCTATATAAGAAATAATAAAAAAATCATTACGACATCAAACTTTTGAACCGTAGTGTAGACAGCCAGGACTGTCTTGAGTCCTGTTAAATAAATATTTAGTTTTCAGTGTAGTTGATGTACCACATGTTCCATGTTTCTACAGACTTCTGACTCTGGTGCATTTACTGTAAGCACATTTGCTGTTTATGCACACAATGGAATATTAGCAAGCATGCAGGTGTAGGGTTAAACATTATGGCCCGGTTTCATATATAGGGCTTAGCCTAAGCCAGGATTAGGCCGTAGTTCAATTAGGACATTTAAGTAATTTTTATAAACATGCCTTAGAAAAAAGCATTACTGGTGTGCATCTTAAGACGAATCAAAGCACTGACATTTTTTAAGATCAGTCGGTGCAAGTTTCTTTCAGTTGAAACAGCTCAGATTTACATTTGTCTAGAACTAGGCTTAAGCCTTGTCTGTGAAACCGGGGGTAAATATATTTTGGGTTCTTTAGTATGTTTGTTACTTGATATGTAACTGGTTCGAGCTCCCCTTTCCCGAATCCCCATCCCACCTGCAGACTACCAAATAATTTCACTAAACATTATGAAAAATGAATGCTTTTTTTAATTAAAAAAACCTACAGGGAAAAAAAACACCTGCATCACTTGAAACATTGAAAAATAGCATGGAGAGAATAACTGTTATTATTATTCTGTTTTTGTTTTATTTATTTATTGTGGGTTTCATGCTGTCTGCTAAGGCATAGAACACACACACAGGCTTTGCTCCTCACCAACGACATTAAACACCATGTCTACACTGGACGCGAGCGGCAAAATACAGTAGAACCCATTATAATCAGTGACGCTGTGTACACTGGATGCGGCGTGATACACCAAATCCCCGACAGTAAACTGATGCCTTGTTCGATTTATGACATACGGATACAAGTTAAAATGATTTGCAACGATTGCTTTGTCATGTCCAGTTTAGAGCTGGTGTGAGGCGACAACTGTAGCGTCCGGTATAGACACGGTGAGTGAAGCCGAGAGCAAGATATGCCTTGACATATTTTCTGCATTTAACTTTTGAATGCCCAGCACCTGCCTGGGTCTGTGCGACTTCATCTATGGCTTTTCTCTTCCCTTTCACAAACCGATCCATCTCCCATTCTAAGTTACGTCCTTTGGCTGTTTACGGTTTTATTTCTTTTTCTGCTGATGGCTCGAAAAAGAAGAGCAGTGGCCGTTTGGCATTCTTTACCCATAGTGCATGTTGATGTTACTTTAAGGTATACATTAACATAAGTATATAAACTTGTTTCTTTTCTACAGGTTCCGCAGCATCGCCAGGTCATATTTTCGCAAAGCACATGGAGTGCTACTGCTCTACGATGTCACATCTGAGAGCAGTTTCCTGAATGTTCGTGAATGGGTGGAACAGATTCGGGTACAGTCTGACATTTTTAGCGAGTTTGTTTTCTTTTTGTTTGTAGACTGTATTCTGTAAACTTTCCCTCACAGGAGTCAACGGATGAGGACATCCCAATGTGTGTAATAGGGAACAAAGTAGATTTGAGGGCAGAGAGGCCAGAGGGAAGCTGTGTGAGCGCGTTTCATGGTGAAAAGCTTGCTATGGTGAGTCCGAGTCTCAGATTTATATGGGAAGAATGTAAAAACCACCATGCCAATCCTAATTTGCTGTGCATTATAGTCTTATAATGCCCTGTTCTGCGAAGCAAGTGCTAAAGAGGGGACGAATGTCATCGAGGCAGTTTTACATTTAGCAAGGTAAGAAGCCACATCAGTTCTTGCTCATTTTAACATGTAAGTGTTTTCAGGCTATAAATGTCTTATGAATTATCACAGAGAAGTCAAGAAACATGCTAAACTGGGGCGAAGATCAGAGTCACAGGTTAAGCTCAGTCTTCATAAACGGAAGAAGACGCTGAGCAACTGCTGTGGAGTCTAATTCATGCAGAGATCTGGTTTAATTGTGATTTTATGCTTTTTAAAATAACTAATCCTGTCCTTTTGTTAGAAAAATGTTAAAATGTTTTTTTTTTAATGCAGTTATTACTTTTTAAGCAGTTTTTAGACATGAATGCTTCCTTGGTGTCTTTAGGCACACTGATCAAATGTATACTTGTACATTTGCCTATTAATGATCAAATTCACTTCAGTGTTTATTTAAATTACTTTTTATTTGTTAGAATTGAATTACTGTTGCGTTGAAGGATGTTTATGTAAATGTTTCTAACATGTTAAATAAAAGTTTTAGATCGGATTTAAAGTCTAAATCAAAGGTCTGGAAGCCATTTATCTGATGTAATCTGCAGGGGAAAAGGGTTCTCTAGTATTTTGACATCTCTGAAAGAAAACCAACTATTTGAGCTACACTTTATTCAACAGTTTTGAGTAAAGGAAAGCAAATGAGATCTAAAAATACAAGAGTACGTGATTGCAAGATGGGTTTTGTGGGTCTGTTATTCTTGGTTTTTACATGGTAAATACTGACCAAGAAAAGTAAGACCTGTACACTGAAGTAAATGCCCAATCAAACTAAATTAGTACAATACAAAAAGGTTTTAAATGGTACTGCTGAATCTAGACCACAACAAAACAATAGTCTAATGACACAAATAGCTTAGGGTTGTCTCCGAAGGGTTTGTTGTTTTCTTTTTGGCTTTAGAGTCGTTTTTTTTTTTTTTTTTTCTTTTTTTGTTGGCTTTCTTTTGCTTGTTGCATTATTTCTGCATCTCTAAAAAGGTTAAAAAAAATATACATGGAAGTTAATAGCAGTAGAGTGTCCCACAATATTTTAAAGTACAATCTCCAATACTCATACTCTTAGGCTGATGATACATGGGGCAACTTTTTGAGCAATGTTGCTGGCAACCAGGTGAGACACGGGGCCCATGACCGATCTAAATTATGTAGACAGAAATTTGTTACCCATTCTCAGTGGGAAAGTGCCCAAGCAACATTGCTCAAAAAGTTGCCCTGTGTATCATCAGCCTTGGAAAATTAAGCAATGTATTAATGGTAGTTTATTCCTCTCATTATTAAAAGGAAGCTGCATCTAGCTTAAGTTCTGTTCGTGTCTGGGTATTGTAGGTTCCCTCTGCTTTCTGGCAGCAGCAGATAAACCACCATCATTTCTCTTTCCCTTTTGCATATCATTTTGCTGCTTGGTATTTTTCTGGCGAGCAAGTTCACGCTGATTTCCCCCTAAAAAGGACACGGTGCTGAAATTAAATATCTGATCTGACTGACACATCTGATCTCAATTTAACCCTAAAAAGCCTACTGTGTCGTAGGATATATGGTTTTCTAAGGCCTCTAAACAATCAATGTCATTTTATTGGAAAACCTGTTGTACACAATCTTCAACATACCTTCAGCCCTCGGTTCATAGTTTAGTACGTTAAAAGCCTTTTAAGCATAGTTCTATCCACCTTTTTCCTGCTGTCTGTGGATGTACTTGTAACCAGACCAGTGTTGCCAACTTGGTAATTTTGTTGCTAGATTTAGCAACTTTTCAGACTACCCTAGCAACTTTTTTTT